CAATAAAAAGAAAAGGCCACATGTTAAACAACAACAGAACAGGAAGAAAATGCACATGCATGACTTAATGTCACCTTAACCACCAGGTAAGTCACTCAGACAAACAACATTTTCTTGTGTCAGAAGAAGTCATAAAGAGCTGTTTGCTGTTGAAAGATTTATATACCTCACAAACAACATGGTGACTTGATTTGAAAAGCGAGGACAAACATAAAATAATAAACAAAATGTTTCCAGAACTGCAACTTCAAAGCCTGACTGAGATTGACATACAGTAGATAGGCACAGTTGTATATCCATGTTTTGGCTCTCAGGAACCTTAAGGGCCACCCAACTGTTAACAAATATCATCAAGATAGATAAGCACCAAGCCAAGGTAAATAAGTCTGCGTCATTGTTTTTATTTTTCTTAGTCTTTTTTTCAGATGAAAACGCCTCATGTAACTTGGTTGTAACTCACGCACAAAATCTAAAAGTATTTGATTCACATTAAGCGGGATACTGATTATTTACAAGAGGTCGTTTTTATCAGACGACGTCAGGTAGCACCACCGCTAGGAACGAAAAGTAATTTCAGCAGCAGTTTAGAACTGCAGACGTGTGATGTTCCCATTCAAGTTAAATACAATTCAAAAATTGGTTTGACATTTTTGATAAATACATACACGGGAAAGCTTTAGATAACCGTACGCAACTATGCTTATTCGCTTTATTGCCAAGAGTAAGATGAGAAGATTGATATCACTTAAATGTTTGTAAGATAAATATGAGGCTACAGCCGGCTTAGCACAAAGACAGCCAGCCTGGCTCTGTCCAAGCTAACCAAATTTGCTTAAAAGCACTTAAGCACATTAATTACCACGTTGTATCTTGTTAGCTTAACCTCATGTAAACAGTATCAAAACGTAACATTGTCCTTTGATCAGTGCTATGTACTTCATTCACAAAAACTCCCCTTCCAACCAGAAAAACTAAAAGTCACACTATCACAAGCAGATCAGTGAGAAGCCTTTCCAGTATTTTGCTGAAAATATTCTCCAGTAAACAAGTTTCAGGTTTTTTAAAATGTATTCAGGGGTGAAAGAAGAAAATAAGTAAAAAAACCTGGTGACCCAGGGTTTGAGCTGAACTGCAGTCTTAAACTGGGTGAGACTGGCTGAGTCTGGCTGTTTAGGGTGTCTTGCATCAATGAGAGTGTCCTTTTGTTACATACTTCTGACCTTGGTCACCAACCTTTTAGCTTTCACCATGCAGCTTATTTAGTGGGATTTTGAACATGACTCAAGTTTAAGCTAATAAAAACATTCCTACGTTTTTACTTGTGCAGCCCATCTGTTGTCTGGTCAATTACAATGTTCAGCATTTGAATGCAAGTACAATCAGGTGTTAACAGGGCTGTGAGCAGATATGCATCTGCAGGCTCTGGCCACAGTGCAGGGCTTCATTTCCACTGAATTGTTGGCTCAGAGCTGCCCTCTGTGTGCATACCTGTGCTTGTGCATGAGTCTCAGCATGTGTGTGTGTGTGTGTGTGTGTGTGTGTGTGTGTGTGTGTGTGTGTGCGTGCGTGCGTGCGTGCGTGCGTGCGTGTGTGTGCGTGCGTGCGTGTGGTTCTTTGTGTGTTTGTTCCCTGCACCAAGACTTCTCTGCACATGGGTAGCAAAGGAAGATATGTACATCTGGTTCCAGGCTCTTTTGTATTGCTACACAATGTTCTTCTTTATTTAAACAAATTGTGTATAGGATATAGAACATACGTTTATTTGCTGCCGAAGGAATATTCCACTAGTTTAAGCACGGTCTTTAACTACATCTAAAATCAGCTCTTATCTTTCATCTCTCAACACGTTTTTCATACTTTCCCTTAAGCATCTAAACCTTCAAGAAATCAGCATTAAAGCCTTTACATTTCCCAAAGGTGTCATATGACTTCTACCTTGTTGTAGTTGTGATTTTGATCATGGAATGCCTCCTGCTCATCTCTGATCAACTAAGTGCATACAAAAAGATGAGAGTTCTCTTTTAAATCAGGCAGAAAGGAATGCACATTTACTCTCAGCTAGCCTTGGGGCCTTAGCCTGCACCTAACATGTTTTTGGAGAACAGTTGAAGACTAATGGCACCTACTGGGGGCTCCCACATGCACACAACTGTATTATACACTGCTATAATGCCTAACTATCAAATTCCACTATAAGACTGAATTTAAATGTTATGGTATCATATACAAATGATTAACAATTGGCCAACCGTTGTGTTAAATGTGCTAATTTAAAAGGGTAGACTGAGACAAATGTACCGTAATCAGATCATTGAGAACATGAGAACAAAATACTTGATTTTTTCATTTACTTTGCAATTGCTGTAATGTTATTGTTATAAATTACCCCATAATTAGTTATTATCTGTGAAGATTTGATAGTAATCTCAGAAAATGCTGATTCTTTTTTCTAGAGCCGACTTTATAATCCTTTAATGAATCTGTCCTTTCATTTTAAAGTCAAAAGAAATACCGTCATGCCCTTGTTGTGTGTTTGTGTGTGGGAGATCACATGAATGCAAGTGGAGGCATGAGGGTTTATGTACACTTTCACCAACTTTTTTCTAAAATGTCCTCCTGCCCCTGGCGGTTTTTTGTGTGATTTTGTGTCCGTTTACCAACAGAATCCTGATCCACCAAGAAGATGTCTACATATCTCAGTGATTACTTTACAGGGTCCTTTGTGGTGAACTCAGCTCTATCCAAAACATTCACAGTTCAATAGATCCTTTTGCAAAAGCTGTAAGTGAAATAGAGAAGGCACGCAGCCTTCCTGGCACTGTCACAGCTTTAGGAGCCTTCACATCTTAATCTTCCAAGGAGAAGTCAAAACTAATGATAGACTACCTTAATGAAACAATGACTAACGTTCTCAAATTTAGAATACCCTCTCTCATTAAAGACTCATAACTAAGATCCAATCCAAACACCATCTGATTCATCAACTACTAAATTATGCCAAAACAAAAGGGGAATTCACAACATCACATACAGTCAATTAAAAGACACTGTGTTCATGGGAATGATTGAAATATTGAAAATAACAGGGATGCAAGTATTTATTTTCTTGTGTTCTTAGCGTCGGATCAATGATACAACCTCTAAATGAGCTAAAGCCCTGATAACAAAGGTTGAAAGGCTTCGTCAGCTTATAGCCTTAACCTTAATAGTGGCACTGTGGGGACACAACATAGAATTAAATGTAATTATGAAAAAATGTTTCCAACCCAAGAGGTGCCTGTGAGAGGGAAATCAGAGAAGCTGTATTCATTTCACACAGCCCCCGGCTGCAGAGAGGATATGGCAGTCCTTTTCATATTGGCAGCTGTTTGATCAGACTAACAGCGCTGCTTAGCTGAACCATAGCTGCAGGTCTGATCTAAACTCCTCATCAGATTCAAAGGAGACACCGCGTCTCCGATGCACTCGAGGCTCTTTCCATAAACACAGCTGAATTATTCCTTTGAGCGCCTTAGCTTGATACTGGCCTCCATTTTCTTTTAAAAAACATAAGGTGTTTTAACAACTGACAAACCTCAAAGATATGGGATAATGCTACCCACAGTTTCAAAGTGTCACTGTTATATCTGCCAGCGAGGGTGTGAAGTTTTACTGTGAGTACAGCTGATAGCTTGTAGATCAATTTCAGCTGATAGTCTTCTCTCTGCATTGTGGGACATAACAGGGAAAGTAGAGGGCATTCAAAAGAAAGAGAGAAAGAATTCACCACAGACACTGGCAGTGAATGGAGGGGCTAGCTCACATGGTTTTGTGTTGTGCGTTGATTATGGTTATCAGACCCATAGTAGATGACTGATAACCGAGGTGTGGCGTTGTGTAAGTGTATGTGTGTGTGTGTGTGTGTGTGTGTGTGTGTGTGTGTGTGTGTGTGTGTGTGTGTGTGTGTGTGTGTGTGTGTACCTGTGCGATCTGAATGACTGCACAACAAAGAGTCTAACTGGATTTAGTCAAAGCTCAAACTCTGATGCAGCTGCATTCCGGGAGGTTTATGATGTGAAACACCAAAGGAAAGGAAACAATGATCACATTCATGAGATGTCATTTTCTTCCACTTTTATCTAAGGAATTTGTTGGGTCCCCCACCCCCCCCCCTTTGTTTCATAACGTAATGTGTCCACCTCATCCAAAGTGGGTCTTTGTGGAAGGCTTTGTTTTGGAAAGATTGACCTCATTCTCACTAATAAGGTGGAGTTTAGCTACCTCTACAGTAGCATCTGTCCTACATACTGTACACGCACTATGTTATACAAATAGGCTTACATTTCAGTGTGAGAGGCTCAAAGCTTAACATTTTAGAAAAATGCAGTAAATCAATCAATGTCTTTTTTTAGTTAAAGTTCCCCTTGGGATTGTAATCATGCTAACCTTACATCTTAAGTAACCGTAAACAAAACTTCTTCGGAAGACGATTAAAGTCAAATATGCAATTTAGAAGTACAATGTGAAATGTTATGCCTCTAGTTGAATACACTTAACATTGACTCAGTGGTTCACAATATTTACATAAAAAAACCTGGAACTTTCAATAAGGGAGAAAGTGAACAACTTAAAACAGAAAGTGAATTTATTTTTGTTGAAAGTAAGACACACATTATCATTCCAAGCAGTGTATTTAAATGTCTTAGAAATATCTGGAGGGGAGCTTTTAATGCCCGATGAATTAAGACTGAATCATCTTCACATGCTCTAACAGCTTGATCTATTTAAGGCAAAAACATGGCATAATCTGATCTCAGACTACAGCAAACATTGAGAGACTGTTCGGCTGGCAAATGACTAACCAAAAACAAACAATACATAAACAATGGAGGACCACAGCTCATCAAACTTGATTTATTTATTATTTTATGCACTTTGTATTGTTACTAAGACACACATTTGTTATTTGGTGAAATAACACAATTTAGGCCCTGCATTAACTCTCATGTCTGCATTGTGTCTTACAAAGGAAAGAGCAGAAAGCCACTGAAGGTTGTTCTGTGGTAATGGTCATCCCAAACATTTCCCATAAGTTGTACTGAAACAACATCTCCCACTTCCAACTGCAACACTACACCATTGGATGCACTGTCCTCAGCATCTGTTGATCTACCGTCACCTGAGGTAACTATAAGATCCTCGTTCATAAACATTTTCATTATCATAGATTTGATAGAGTTTGCTAGATGGCCAGTAAATCTGAAGTAATACACTCCTCTTGCTGGTGCAGTGAAGTAACCTGAACACAGACAGAAAGAAAAGTCTCAACCGATAGAAGTGGAGAATTAGACCAAGTGATTCATTTCTTTTTTTTTTTAAAAGAAGCCAAATACCTGTGTCTGGGTTGTAATGGTTTCCAATGTTGGTAAACACATTTTTGTAGAGGAGTGGAGCATCTTCTTGGAATGTGTTACCCTGACCAGATGTCAGAAGGGAGGCAGAAAAGGCCAGTTTCCTCACTGTGGCAAAGTAAAAAACACAAAATCAATTCAGAATTTGTTCTTTCTGTACACATACTGACATATAACACCATTTTGCACAAAACACAGAGAGGAAAACATGATTTACCTATGTTAGTATTTTGAAGTTCGTGAATGTCCATCTCTTGTCTTAAAATCACGAGCCACTCATTCATAACTATTTGCGCACAAATCATATCACACATATCACAATTAATGTGTCACACAAATGATAACAAAGACCTTAACCTTTACCTTCCCGCTGTTGCTCCAGCACCATGATGAGGCCCTCACTGACGGTCAGTCTTAGCTCCAGAGTGCTGAGCTCCTGCTGAATGACTGCAAGCTCTGTAGCTTGAACTTAAGGGACATAAAAATAGAACAAAAGCACAACCATATTGTTAAGGTTTAGGCAAAGTCAACTTTATTGTCAATCTTTCAGTTTGTGTGTACAGACAGAGAGATCGAAATACCATTCCAAAAATCCTGAATACAAAATACAAATATATATAAAAATGTGTATATACCTATATATACATAATCAACAGACACATTTATACATATGCACACATTAAGACATCAATAAAAGCACAATAATTAATATATACAAAATAAAATTAGTGCAAGACTGTCCATTTAAACCTCAATTATTCAACACAAAAATACTGCATATAAATGGGGTAAATACATGGCACATGCACAAAACCCTGTTATTGTGAGGTTCCTGCTCTGCCACAGACACAACAGTAGCTACATGCACAAAGTTCATAAACTTTTAACATTTACCTTCCTGTTGTTTCTCCAGCTCCTTCACACGTGGCTCACTGACTGTCATTCTCAGCTGCAAAATGCTGCGCTCTTTCTGAGCAACTGCAAGCTCTGTAGCTTGAGCTAAATGACAGAAAAGGTGATAAAGGTTTACAGGTAGATAATCAATGCAAAAAAAACGTTGTTATGGTTGTTTATAATGAAAGGATGGCCCAGTGTTTATCGTCATTTTCCATCTGCAGTTCCTCTGCTCAGCTCTCAGCAGCGGTCATCCTGGCCTCCATGGCTGTGACAGAGTGATCATGTGAACTCAGCTTCATATATTTTGTTATGAAGTGAGTCTTTTCTTACAATTTACCTGTATTCTCCTTCTCCAAGGCGTCCACCAGGCTCTCAGCAGCGGTTACTCTGGACGTCAGGTACCTCAGCTCTACTTTCTGCTCCACCACCATGTCTCTCAAAGCCCTCAGCTCAGCCCAGACGTCAGTCTGAAGCACCAGCTCATTTTCACCTCCTTCAGCTTCAGTCCTGCAAAGAGAGCAGACTACCAGTAAGAAGACCAAGGAAGCCTTCATCTTGTTTGGAAATGATCGGCGTCTGTTTGCTGTCTGTGGCATAGCTGTGCACTGGATCAGCCATTTATGTGTGTATTCAAGGTCAGATGTGGCAGGTGCACGGTGATCTGCCAACGTTGTGAGAAAGCACACCTGTTGCAAGTGGTGAAAGTAGGGTGAGAACACAAACAGAGAGATTATTAAGAGTGACTTACTGGTAGAGTTGTATCTTGGAGTCCTTCCATCGGTCCATAAGTCCATCGAACAGCTTTTATACTGTTAAATAGTTGAACATGGTAAATACATAATGTAGGCTCACTCAAATTACAACAACTTCACTAATAAACCTATGGGTGAATTAACACTACTTTAACAATGTCAACATAAATGTTCAAATTGTGATACATTTAATATCATAATATACATTATAATCTTGAACATAAATATGATGTGTGGCAGATTTGTTGTATATATGTTTTTTTGTATCTGTAATTTGGGTAAATGTAAGTTTAAATGTAGTTTTCATTAACATGAACAATTTTCAATCCCACACACAAACAGCATATTATTTTGTCATTGTTCAGATTGTGTCACGGAGGAAACCAGACAGGAATCAGACTTCATTTTCTTTCTCTTGTTGTTGATGTAATCTAGAAAAATGGTTTTACGTCAGGTGAAGCTGTTTTTCAGAATTGATTTGGAAAAATCTTAAACAAGTTGAGTGCAAACATCCTTACAGTTCCCTCAGCTCCCCGCAAGTCATTGTGAAGAGTTTGGGAAATTTCCCACTGCAATAAGACCATTATCTGGGCGTGTTGCTTGTGAGTCATAAGCGTGTGCATCAGTGACAAGTTAGACAATTAGCCAGAAATAACATCAAATCAACCTGTCGTTAAAATTATATTTCTCGAAGCATATAAAGTGCAATGAATGACATGATTTATGCTGATTGCTGCTTGTGTTTATGAATACGAATATTGAGCATCTGCCTGTCAGAATAAAACTGCGCACTGCCACACACAACAGGGTTTACAACAGATAAACACACAGGCATCAATCTCTCTAACAAAACACTGCCAGTGCTCAGGTGGCGTGTGAGAGAACACAACTGAGTGTTGTCTCAGTACAACAGCAGATAGTACTGTGCTGTTTCATATCTAATCACTCAAAAAATAAAATACATAACACAATCTTTCAGAATCCTGTATTCACACTGGTTTTTATAGATGATATTCCTGTCATAAAAATACTTTGCTTTGGGGGTAAACACAAACAAATGTACATATCACAGAAGTTTTAAAGAAGAGTTTTTCGGGAAAGAGAACACAGGTTTTCCTATCCTGCATGGTGCCGGAGGGGGCAGAGATAAAGAGAGTAATAGTTAGACTGCGGTCACATTGGTATGCAGACAGTCATGAAAGCAGCACAGTACCTGTTGCATCTTGCAAATTCATTTTGTGGAATATTGTGAAATATCACCGCTTAAATTGGGGAGGCCCATTTTTTTTATCGCAAGTCAAGGGATAAATGGTGAGGTTAAACAAACAGAAATGGTTTGGATTACATATTAGCTACTGGTGTACAGAGGCCTACTGATAACTCACTCACATCATCATCAAAGAGGCTAAATACAAATATAATTATGATGTATAGATGTTGAAGATTATAAGGGGCAGCTATCATTTATTGAAAGTTTGTATATACAGTAAAAGCTTCCACATAAGCGTTTGCCCTGTATAAACTTTGCAATGCTTTTTTCTTGTTGTATTCTTAGATTTTCAAACAGGAATGTATAAGTCTAGCATGCATAAATGTATCCCTGGTCTCAACTGTCTACAGTCACAGACCTCGTGACCCTACAGTACTTCACAGCTGTGCTCTGAGCAGCATGATGCTCACAATGTTAATGCAACTGTAACTATGATAGAGAATCATAGTTACTCATCTTTAGTTGGATATTAATTTAATGTTATCCATCCATAGTTTTTAGCACATTTTACTCAATCCAAAAATGGCAAACTCAGAAAGGCTGACCCAAAACATCAGATAATTAACAATTATTGAAACAAGGATTAATCATCTGGGAAACATGAATCTCAAAATGTAGTCCGAGGAAGAGGCACCGAAAGGGCAAAGAGGCCATTGACTCCCCCACTTCACACCCTTCGGCCCAAATCGGGGTCATGACTGGTGGGATCTGATTGCAGGATGGTCTCCTGTCTGTAACAAAATGATCCGTCTCTGTGTTTGTATTTGGATAGAAGACCGGAGTTTGCGTGGTTTATAAAAAGTCACGGTAAATTTGACAAATATTGTCATTTCTACTTACCTGTCTGACCTGTTTAAACCCCACCACTATCCTCCCATTTACGGTGGTACAAAGAACAATCAGGAACTGAATTGCCATTGCTGATACAGCATATTACATTTGAAACAGATGAATATTGAAGGATGACTAGGTCCGATGGTGTCATTCTGCGTAATAATATTTAGCTTGGTGCTTCTTAGAGCATGTACATTATTTTCAGAGTAGCAGACCGGGTTTAATGAAACATTTTTTGGGACTTTTGGGGTTATTAAAAATGCTGTCCTCAACTTCTCCTCCTGCTCAATGCAATAATTTGAATGAGATGAAATCGGGAACAGACTGCTCCCGACTGCTTCCTACTACTTAATAATATATATATTTTTTTAAATGTTGCACACAGAGTGAGCATTTTCACGACGTTTTTTCCCGTCTGAATATTTCTGAGTGACATTCTACATCTTAATGGATTCAAACAACTTTGAATTGGTGAACTGACCAGACACTGACACATTTCATACTTCAAAGTTTCACATATAAGTCTTATTTTTCTTATTGAGAAAATGGAAAACATCGTTTGTGGTGTCAAAAGTCACACATGCCGAACATGTCTGGCATTACATTCTGTCAAAATGGCAGTTTACAAGCCAACGCATTATCTGTGCCTCCTCTCCCATTGGTCCGAGAAACTTTTTCCAAAGTGTCGACCTGTGATTAGGAATCCAGTAAATCTTCCCTCCCAGGGAGCCTTGCAGAAATCTTTCCTTCAGGTCAATCCACTGCTGCAGGGATGAGCCTGGCTCTCCTCTGTAGATGCCCTCTGGGCTGAATCTCTAACAGAGATCTCTTCCTTTCTGACCTTCTCACAGCTCAGACAGGAGGCAAAAAGTCCATTTTAAGGGATTGGTTGAATTCTCCATGCATGCAGCTTGATCAATCCCATTCCTAAACAAGGAATATTAGGTATATGGTGCAATATCTGCTGAAGTGAGATAAGATGACACCTAAGCAGAGCTATCAGGCGCCTCGAAGTGACAGGCAACTTTACATACCTTCCTTCATTCACCTCTCAGGCAAATTCCTCTCTTGCCGTCTTTCTCTCTGCATTTCTCAACTCTTCATCCCTCTTTTTTTCCATGGAAGATAAGACAAACATGATCGCTCATTCTGTACTTCTCTACCCGTTGTTGTTTTTTACGTTTAATCTTACTATTTCCTTGTGATTGCCTTGTTTCTTTTCATGCCCAGCAGGCCAAAATGTGATCCACTCAATATCTTAGCTTTAACTGAACTCATCAATTGGGTTTTTCACTGATTGAGTTCTCACAGCCAACTTTATTGTCTCATAATGTAATTGAGGTGTTCTGTCAATGATCAATCATCATACCCCATTGTCAATATAATTACTTATAATCGAAATGTTGACACATAACATCATCTACAATAATAACTATCCATGGTGCAGGTAATCACTCCGAAAAGAAACCAATCACAGTCCTGTGTTTCAAGATCTGACCCAGAAAATCATACAGAGCAGTTGGGTTGAGTCTGTAACACACACACACACACACACACACACACACACACACACACACACACACACACACACACACACACACACACACACACACACACACACACACACACACACACACACACACACACACACACACACACACACACACACACACACCAAGCTACTGTATGATGAAGGCTTGACTGCAGGTAGTTAGCTTCAGCCTAATCTAATGATGCATACTTCCCCCTGTTTATGGCAGCCAGGGAGCAGGGAGCGCTAGCCTGTGCTTGTCTGCTGTTGAGAATGCCCATTAACGCTCTTTTCCCCTCAGGTGATGACCACCTGAGCTATCAAAGACAAGCATGTCTGTATAACCACCCTCCCCCTCCTCCCCCTCTCGTCCCACTCCATCCCCACCCCGCCTTTTACTCCGACCTCCACCCAGACACATACTGTACAGTCCCTTGCATAGTAGTTGTTTTTTCCCTCCAAAAATTGCATTTAGATAATAGCTATATATTTTATATAATAATCATTATTATTATCATCATTTTGTCAACTACTTTTTTCAAGCTAGCACCAATTGAGAGTACTAACACAGTTTACAGTCAGTTTTTGAATATATGTCGATATACGTGCCATGCTATGCTAATGGTCCAGGGGTATAATCAAACTGGGTTTCCTTCCTAACCTCATGTCACCTGGGTCATCTGTACTGAATTGTACAGAGCATCTGTTTTAAAGGTCACCTATCATGCTATTTTTAGGCAATAGCATAGGTCACAGATATATAAAAATATATAAAAAACATGTATCTGAAGTGTTTTGCTCAAAATAACCAAACAAGATCACCCATTCATGCCTCATATCCCTCTATTTCAGTTCCTGTTTCAAAAGTGCTGATTTTGGGTATAAAGCTTTTTTTTAAAAAGAGGGGCGGAGCTTATGCTCATGCTGGAGGTTCTACCGGCAGATACTGCGGTGATGAAACGCCATATCGTGGATTATCAAGGATTCTCTCTGAAACAGTGTGGAGCTCAAAGGCTTTCTCTCTTGCCGGTTATACCACAAGGTGAGTTCCTTTTTATTTCCTGCTTCTTCACACACATGCTCTCCAGTACAGGTTAGCTCTGAGTGTTAGCGATGCTAATGTAAACACCGACCATATACGTCCAAAACAGTCGGGCATTGCTTCTGATAGCAACGTTTCTGATAGTGCTGTGGGTATGCATTGCCGATGACTTCATATCGGACGTAAATCTGGATCAGCTCCGTTGTACCCCTGTTTTTAGAGATTTGGGTACGGAGGAAAAGAGAGAGGGTTTTATTTTTCTGATGCTGCGTGAGTTCCCTGACACACCGGGGACACATATTTATGTATAAAAGACATAAAAAAGTGCATTTTGCATGATAGGTCCCCTTTAAAATG